AGATTACTATTAATCTGAAAATTAATTATTCTAGGTCTTTGAGATGATTATATTTATTAGACCTGCTCCATACAATGGCAAAGGAAGAACTGGATGCTATTTTTAAACGGCACATAAAGGTTGGTCTGCAGTGCCTGTCTGGGTGCTGCTGCATCATTGAAGACATCCACTTTTCAATAAAAACATCAAAGTGACAGGAATTATTTGGGCTCAAAAGGACCCCAGCAGTGCAGTCTGATATTTCTGAACCTGTAAGGGAAGATACTGCGACAGCTGATCATGGACTGCCAAAGGTAGGACTATTCCTAGAGATCAGGGAGCTTGTTTTTCTTTTTTAATTTTGGGAAGTTGTGTTTCCAAAACACACATTCAAAACTCGGAGCAGACCTTTTTCCAGCCAGTGTACAAACTACACTGTGAAGAAACAGGGGAGTGGACAGTATTGTGTTATGTTTGATAATTTGGTTGCATTTCTAAGTTAAAAATCCGACATCAAGAGATGTTGGAATATTCTGCCTTTATATGTAACTTGCACTATTTACGTAACTAATTTGAAAACCAAAGGCATAGAAATCAAATCTGTCAACGTGATACTGCTCTCTACGTGGTTAAGATAAAGTTCCAGACTTTTCTAAAAGACTTGCTGTACTAATGAAATATTAAAAGCAGAAGTCTCTGAGTACAAATATTTCCAGGAAGAAATCTGAGTTTTTACTTAGCAACTTCAGAAACTGTCCATTATTTTCAGGTTAAGAAACAATATCACTTTAATTATGTCAATTAAATGTTTGTGTTCCCAGTAAATTATTTCTTCTCTGGCCCTGATTGGAAGTAGATTCTTTTTTTCTGAGTACTCAGAAGAAATGAAGTGTATTTGGATAGAGATTGGTGGTTTCTTACTTTCTCTCCCAAAGAGCTGCTGTTTTTGGCTGGTTGTTTTGTGTGTGTGTGTGTGTGTGTGTGTGTGTGTGTGTGTGTGTGTGTGTGTGGTGGTTGGGGAGTGGGGTGTGAGGGAAGAGAAAAGGGCTGTATATACAATTATTAAGTAGGCCTAAGGTAAAATTCTGCCTTGATCAGTGAGACAGACACACGGAGGTTAGGTGAAACAGTTTTAGTATATAGTACCTGTGTAATTTTTAAAATGTACAAACTCTGTTTTCAGCTCAGGTCCCCCTCCTTCTATGTACTGTTGTCTCTGGAAGGTTCAGAATCCATTTTAGAACACAGGAAGCAAAATATGTGAATTCCACTTGTGCTTTTGCAGGTGCTGTGGTAGCAGGGATAACCTTTGCTCACTTGCCGGCCATTACCAAACTGGGTTTTTTTTTTTTTTTTAAAAATGTCTGGTGAGAATTAAAGAAAACACAGAAAATTCCAAACCACATCCAAACACCTAAAGTCCACACACTGTTTCTACACAGATGGCAAAAATATTTCGCAGTAGCCTTCCTTTACCAAGACTATATCCAGATCTGGAGGTTGGGAGAGAAGGATGATTCTTTTGAGGCATCCCTTAAGACTGAAAGAAAATAAAATTAAGACTCCTAGGTGTTCTTTTGCACACCTTCCCCAGCACTGAAGATCACTATTCAGGCTGGGGGTCTTTCCGAATGAACGTGCATTTTCGGTTCCGGATGTCTAGTAAAACACGGAGGAAAAGCAAAACCATGGGGCAATTTTGCGAATTGTCCAAAAGGGTAAGAAACCAGAGAAGAATTTGCCTCTTAGCCAGGCTGGGAGACGGGCTGTCCTCAGCTGTCATCGCCAGCGGAGGAGGGGAGTGCTGGCTTTGGTGGCCGTGGGGCACCGAGTGGCTGCAGCCCAGTCTGCGGCTCGGGCCACCAGCTCACCTCCGTGGAGAGCCAGGCGCTCACCGGCCTGCTCGCCCCAGCTCTCGCGCCGCCGTCCGGCCGCAGCCCCGGGGCCAGCACCTTGCAGCCGGGTGGCTGCCCCAGGGCCAGCACAGGGAGCTGGCT